ACACTCACACCCACAGCCCACATCCACACCCACCCACACCCACACCCTAGCTATGAAATTACTAGAAAATTTTTCGAAGAATTTAATACTTCTAATAAATGTAAAGAAAACAAAAATGATGCTTATTCATAGTATTGTATCACCAAGTTATCCAAAAGTTTTCTTTAAGAATGAAATAATTGAAATAGTTTCTTGGTTTAAATATTCAGGTGTAGAAATAAGTAGAAAAATGTGGTGGGGCTCTTTAATCAAAAAAAGATTATATAAAATTAAAAATATATACAGTGCTCTAAGAAACATGTTTAGAGTAATTCCATTAGAACAATATGATATTAGAAGAAAGTTTTTCTGTTCATTTGCCTTACCTCATTGTTTATTGTTATTTGTTACATGGTTTTATTTCACAGCAAATCAACGTCAAGATATTGAACATGTATAGTGTACAGGTCTTGGTTTAATACATAATCTTTGGGGGTGGAACGATTACACTACATTAGTTTTAGCAAAAGACAGATCTCTTCTCGACTACGTGTATGACTATTGGGAGAAATTTATGAAACATCTTAGTACATCTCCAGAAGCAAGTGGGTATAGAGAAACATTGGAGGCATATCTTATATCTACATCACCTGATCGAAGTGTCTATAAATCTATGGAATTAAGAAAAAATAATTTTTTTATAAATCGTTATATACAAAGGGTGCATCATAGAAATCTGGACGTTTTTTCATTCGTCTGTATACATTAGAGCCAAAGAAATTATTTTAAAGGATCATCCTTAGATATTGAAAGATTCATTCATAAATATATATATCCACCTTAAGATTCTATTGCAATTCCGAAAATTTGTGAAATATGAAGTTCTTTGCTCCAAAAACATAATCCATTATCTCCTATTGGTAAATTCTCTTTTTTTTCCTTTTTTCTTTTGTTGCTTTTCGTTTTTCTTTTGTTTCTTTTCGTTTTTCTTTTGTTTCTTTTCTTTTTTCTTTTCTCTCTTTTTTTTGTTCTCATCTATATTATTAAGTAACTGAAGAATTCTGTTAAATGAAAAGCAATAGGAGCAGCAATCGGTTGCTCTACTTGTGATATATTCTTGAGAAAGTCACCATTCAATCGGTTTTTTACAATATTCACAAGAAATAAGAGCAGCGTCATCCGATGATTGGCCGCCATGATGCAATCGATCTGGAAATTAAATTAAAACTATAAGAATTTCATTCGTGTGTAATACCACCTTAATATTGATTAGAATCTCCAGCAGTCGACATTAGGTGTCTTTCTCCGATTTTATTTGGATTCTTAAGACAAAATCTCTGTGAACACCAAAGAAGAACAATTGATTTCTTATGTAAGAGCTATGGCTTTTCAAACACTTATCTGCTGCACTTCAAGTTCAACTAATTCACTTGCGCAATCACCAAATAGAGGGTGTGGGTGTTCTCTTCATACCCACATCCACACCTGTACTGCAGATTTCTCAAGTTTCGTCCATTTCCATTCCGCTCATGAGAAATGCGAGTTTATGTGAACTGAATTCAAAACCGTTCTTAATGTTTTCTGAAGATCGTACCATTAAAATAACATCTTAAAGTGTCAGATTAATTGATATCCGTTTCCTATATGCCTTCATAAAATATTACAAACCAGATACTTTATGATATCATTATATTAACGGCGATGATCATGATCTGATAAGTGTATTCGACAGTAGTTTTTTTTATAGTGCCTTGTTAAAAAAAAAACACCATAATATATATAATTAATTAGTAATTTAAACTAGAATTTCATGCAACTAAACGATTTTAGATAAAAATGAGATGATTTATATAGAAATATTTAAGAGAAATGTTTATTTTGTTGTTCATCTGGTTTTGTTTTCAAACATATTGACTAACTAATCATTGGAATCTGTGTCACGATACCTTGCTTGTTGACAGTAATACGTACACGGTCCATATTATAATCCGCTGTTACCGGTGAACCTTCTTTAATTAATACTACATTTGTAAAACCTATTTAGAATCATAAAAGTAAATTTCTACATGTTATTTAATATGAGAATATTACCTGTTTCTTTTTTAATAATTTGAACTGCTTCGTTGCCCTTTTTACCAACTAATTCTGGCCATTGACTTTTCTTAGATCCTGGATTTGCTTCTAAAAGTATCAATAAAAATTTCACAAAACAATTTTTCCTTCTCTTACTTTTGACAAGTACAACAGGAACTTCAATTGGTTTTTTTCGATCAACATTAAGTGGTGGTACTAGAATACGAACATTATTAGTATATAATAATTCATTCTTTTTATTTCTAATATTAGCATGTAATGAATATAATTGTCCAGGAGTAATTTGATTTGATGAATATTTTATTCCAAATACTACTGGAAATTTAATGACTTTACTTGTTCCACGTGCAATAACTTTGGCTGGTGCATCAGCACGTGATGTATCTTGTAATTCAACTGTTAATTTTCCATCTGGTTCAACGGGTGTAGACGAACCTTCAGGAAATGTAACACGACCAGTTAAGATAATGTTTTGTGCACCTTTTGAAACCTTTGCTCCATCTTAAAGATAAATAAATATGGAATCACATAATTAAACAAATGACTTATATTGAATGCAGTTACCGTTAATAGCAACGAAACAAATAATACTTATAGCAAGAAAGAATTTGTTCATGACTCAATCTAGAAAAATAATTCTAATATAAAATATTTTCATAAGAACCATTATTTGCATCGAAGATATAAGAATATATATACGTATATTATATATGGTAAGACCAAAAATAATTTTTACATTGAAGAGAATGCATGTTTATATATATATATCTATGACAGATAATCCTTGTAATGTGTTGACAGCAGCAAAATAAACTATGTGGTTCTTTGCAGAAAAATATAATATATTGCTGTAGGAGTTAAAGATAACTATTTTTAGAAAGAAAAAAATATTAATGACGCGATAAATGATGACTTGAAATACAAAATATTAGCTATTTGGGACATTTTCCTTTCTCAAAGGTACCCATCGAGTTTATACGGCAATTTCCAGACTTTAATATACTCTCGTTTGTCTTATTGTTCATTCATTTCATTTTCTGACTAATGATGTTATGAGTTCATAACAAAAGGTCTTTAATAAAATGATTAAAACGATGTCAATTATCAAATGGTTTTACCGTATAAACAAAACAAAGTCTACAATTATTCATTATTATATCATTTCAATTCGACAAATATCGATTGCTGAAAATCAAGGGATGAGATCAGCAAATTGATTTGTATTTTCAAGATATACAAGTCAGTTTGTTTTTCGATTAATAATTTTCACTAAATAGATATAGACGTATATAATTACCACCTATGGACTATATACGTATATTGTTAACTCTATTGAAAATTATCATTGTGCAATAATAAACTAATGATTATTATATCTTAAGTAATTTAAATGTTTTGAAAATATATTGAAAAATGAATTACTAATCATGGTATAATATTCATATGAAGTCACCTGATGAACGTTCTCGCAAAACAAGAAACAACCGTTTGTCATGGAATGACCTATTTCTAGTCTTACTCTTACACCCTCATAATTCAGTAAATCGCAATATTGGATATGTATTTTTGTAGGCAGTGATAAACCAATTTCTACTATTTCCTTGAATCTCTCATTAGAAATTAGAACATATTCAGTTATAAGAATTATTGAACTATGAGCGACTCGTCATGCCGATTTTTATCAGTTTTGAATGTCCTTTCTGAATCTGTTCTTAAGTTTAATCTAATGAAAAATATTGATTTCAAAACTAGTTGGAATTGGTAGAGAAAAAAAAACGCTAATTTTTGGCCAATTCCAGACAAATGCTGAAACCTTTGTTTTACATTTCATGAGTTTTGACTACACCTTCTGATAGCGCAGAAAACCTTTTCATAGTTAGTATCATCAATCCAACAGTAACTAGGCTCTTAATATGAAAAAAAATGTCGTCTTTGAAACCATGTTCTAAGAGTTGGTGCATCCTTACCTACTAATCGTTTTATCAGAAAGAATATTAATTTTTTAAAATAATTTAATTTTTGAAAACGAATATTTATAATATTCAATTGCCTATAACAAGCATACAATTGAAAGTAACAGTTACTTGTTTGTTGCATTGTATTTTTATTCAATCAGGTGTCAGATTAGAAGGTATTTCACAATGACAAAATCTCTTATGTTAATAAAAGACAAAAGCAAAAAATAAAATGAACTAAAAAACCATCTACTTTTAACATACAAAAAGAAAATCTTTATTAATATCAAATATAAATATAAGTTTTTATTAGTCGATCAGAAAATCTGTTGTTTTTTTATCAAGTACTAATATAACTAGATGTTGCAAAGAGAATGTTTGATTGGTTATTTCTTGCACATATTCTAAATATTTTTTGCTTTGTCCTTATTTCCTTGATGTGTATGAACAATCGCTAAATTATGTAATGTTCGAGCGACATATGGATGATTAGATGGTAATGATGCTTCTTGTAATTTTAATGCCGCTTCATAGTCTTCAAGAGCCATTTGATAATTTCCAGCTGTCAAATGAATATTACCTAAATTAACTCTTAGTAATGCTCGATTTGGATGAAGTAACGGAAGAGAATTATCATAAATTTCCTTTGCTTGTTGATATTTATTCAATGCTTGTTCAAACTAAGTCAAAAGATTTAAGAAAACAATATTTTTATGACATTTTTCTCTTACATTTTGTCGACTGCAATCAAGATTACATAAATTAATTAATGTTCCAGCAACGTCAATATGTTTTCTTAGTATATTTTTTTTATATAAATGCATAGCACGTTTAAAACATTCTGCAGCCTTGATCTCATTACGTTGTGCAAAATAAAGAAGTCCGAGTTCATTTAATGTTTTACCAGCACTTGCTATATGCTTTGATCGAGCATTCATATGTAATTGATATGCACGCGTATAAGAATTTATTGTACGATAAAAATTACCTAGAAAACGATGTATACGACCAAAATTATAAAATATACAAGCAATTTCTTCATCATTTGGATTTGATGAACTAAGAATTGTATCAAAATATCGTTGAGCTTTATCATATTCACCCATTTCGATCAGTAAATTACCAAAGAATAATATAATATTTGATTCAGTCATCTTTTCCTTTTGATATTCGATATATTCAGCAATTAAATCATCACTTTGATCAGTTGCATGAACTTTAATATACCATAAATCTTCCACAGCATTATATTCACATGAATTGATTTGAAATAATCCTCCTATAGATGCAAATAAGAATATCTATTTATAAAACCTAAGAATAGATGATTCAAAAACAAACAAAACAATTTTGAAAAACATATTAGCTGAAAAATTGTTTGACTAAAATTATCTAACGTTTTACATGTCATAACTCGAAAATGTTAGTATTCACCTTTAGTAGTTCGTTGGAAGGGAGGGCTGCGCAAGTACGAGTACAACTTGTACCACGCGGTTCACAGCTGACTATGTACTACCTTGTACCGCCTTGTGCCCTTTGTATCACCTTGTATCGAGTCCATGTATCGATATAATAACACATATACCCTGCAAAAACCTAGGATTCTAGAATTCATGTACCACCTTGTATCACGATGTACCACCTTGTACCACCTTCTTTCGGGTCCATGTATCGACATAATAACATATATACCCTGGAAAAACCTAGAATTCTAGAATTCATGTACGACCTTCTATCACCATGTACCATTTTGTATCGGGCCCATGTATCGACATAATAACATAAATACCCTGGAAAAACCTAGAATTCTAGAATTCATGTACCACCTTGTATCGAGACCATGTATCGATATAATAACATATATACCCTGGAAAAGCCTAGAATTCTAGAATTCATGTACCACCTTGTATCACCATGCACCACCTTGTACTACCTTGTACCACTTTGTATCGGGTTCATGTACCGTTATAATACCATCCATACGCCCGAAAAATCTGGAATTCTGGAATTCATATCAGGACATAGAATTGGCTATAGGTGGTTGAAATCGTTTTTTAATGACAGATGTACATGTGTACTTCTTCGGAACATATACTGTCAGGGTCGATGGCTTGGCTTGTAAGTGGTCAGTGGATTTGTGTGGGCTAGCTCACGTAATGACTGATTAGGTTATTTTTGTTCGAGAATCGTTAGGATGCGGCAGGTGAGTGCTTGTAGTTTAGCAAAGGTGAAATAGGTAGCTGTTTGAAGTTATTATTAATTTCGATTTGTTTGAGGAACTTTTTTTGCATTGGATAGAAAAATTTGGTATTAGGTGTTGGCAATATTTCTAATCTGCTGCTGATGGAAATTTTCGAAGTGGATCAGAAGGGTCTGGGATCGGCACGAAATGGTGAGCAGCGGAAGACTTAGAAAATTTTTTGAAATATCATGAACAGAACAATAGTGTCACACTTGAAACTTGAATTCAATTGACTTTTCAAGTTTTAAGTGAGTTTTCAAGTTTCAAGTTTCAACTTACGACTTTCACCTTTCAACCTTCGAGTTTCAACTTTCAACTTTCAACTTTCAATCATTTAGTGGCACTCACCCCAGTCGCGATGTAATGCGTGTCGCATGGTGGCCACTCCCTCCACGATCAGTGCATTCGCACGCAGCTTTTTCGCGGCCACTTCTTTCGTGGCCAGTCCTTTCGCAGCACCCGCACCAGCCGCGATGTGATGTGCGTCGTATTGTGGCCAGTCCTTTTATGGTCAGTACATTCGCACGAAGTTCTTTCGCGGCCAGTCCTTCCGTGGCACCCGCATCAGCCGCGACGTGATGTGTGTCGTATTGTAGCCACGCCTTTCGCGGCCAGTCCTTTCGTGGCCACTCCTTTCACGGTCAGTCCTTTCGCGGCACCCGCACCAGTCGCGATGTGATGTGTGTCGTATTGTGACTACTCCTTTCGCCTTCAGTCCACTCGCACGCAGTTCTTTCGCAGCTAGTCCTTTCGTGGCCAGTTCTTTCGTGGCCAGTCCTTTCGCGGCCAGTCCTGCCGTGGCCACCTCTTTCGCGACCAGTGATTTCGTGGCCAGTCCTTTCGTGGTTAGTCCTTTCGCGGCCAGTCCTTTCGCCGCAGTGTCAAACTTGAAGCTTGAATTGAATTATTGAAAAGTTGTTTCAACTATTCAATTATTAAATACTCCACGTTCAATTATTTCAGTATACAATAGTGGGTCTAAACATGGCACAGTTTGATTATTGTGTACACTGAAAAAAAAAATGGTTTCAGACGAAACCTTTAAAGTTCAGTAGTATTTTGTGATATTCTAAAAGTGTCCGTACGCGCCTACGAAACCTTTCAAAGGTTCGGTAATAAAAAAGGTTTCGTATTATACTTCTGTAAATTTCAAAATCATCAAAGGTTCTGCATTGAACCATTTTAGGTTTCGTAGTCAAAAGGGTTTCGTATCATACTTCTGTGATTTTCCCAAATCATCAAAGGTTTCGTATTAAACCCTTGCAGGTTTCGTACTAAGCCTTATTAAAGTATCGTAGCTGGTACATTCCACATAAGCCACCGCTTCTTGGCTTTACTTATGACTGAAGGAATTGAAAATGAATTACACAATCAATCGATTTTTAATTGTTCTAAATCTGTGTTCATGAACATTATCCACCGAAATTCATAACTAGTCTGTTATCAGAGTTGGACGAGTCTTTCAAGTAATGTTGAACTCGAAATCTTCTTATGCATTATAATGAAACTCACGTTCTTGAACTCCACTTTTCTGGAAAAAATACTTTCAATACACAAATCAACTGCAAAAAAAGGATTTTTCGGACTGTTAAAATCCAGAGAGTGACAGAGAATTAGTGTAGCAACGTCTATCGATTTGTGAAACTAGCGTATTTTATGCCTTTAGTTCAAAAAGTAATCGAAATGTGACGCCATCTTTGGAATGAAACTTAGTTTTGAAAAACCGAATAACGTAATTGGAAAGTACTTTCGTCCTAAATAATTTCTTTCATAAAACTTTTTCCTAATACATTCTCCTTGAACAATTGCCTCTGGGTGGGGCATTTCAGCAGTGATTGTCATTCGTCGTTATGCTCTTTATCACCAGCTTATAGACTACAATAAACTTTTTATTATTTGTATCATCATTTCATTGCACTGACAAACTGAGTGTTTGTAATGCCAAGTGTACACTAGTAGAAGCAAAGTGCACAGACATTTGTATCTGTGAAAATAAACGCTGCTTTTCATTTAGTTCTGAAAGAAGAGTGTACAGTGTATAGTTTAAAAAGAAAATCTGAAAAGCACTTTTAGCTCAAAAATTATGTTTAGACTAAAAATCTTCTTTGATCTATTTTTATTTGTTCAAGTATTTACTGGATGAAATCACTCTCGTTGGCAATGTTTTTTTTTTCCTTTTCAAACGTACCCTCATTTCGCTCTCAATACTTTCTATTCCATAGAAAAATTAAACAAATAAAATTTCTGATGATGAAACGTACAAAAGTTTTGATGGTTTTTAGATTGATTTACGAAAAACGACAGTTTACTTAAACAAGTCCTAAGAATTTCATTTTTAGTAAAAATTATGCAATGAAATTAACAAAAAGATTACTTTTCACCATTCAGTTTGAAAGACATAAAATTTTTGTCTGTTTCACCATTGCAATGTCGTAGATTTCTATTTTTACGACTTTCAAGATTTCCCAATAAGTGCTGAATAAAATCTACACTAATAACATATTAAAGTTGGTTTTGTTCAAATCATACTGATATTCATGATGGCGAAGATCATAATAATAGCCGGCAAATGTTTTGCGATTATTTAATTTTCGTTTTTAAAAATAGTGAATTGTAATTTGTAAATTCATATGAAATTCTAGGATTCTATTTTTTATGGTGAATCGTACTTAATGGATGAATTTCAAATTGTTTTTCTATTTATTTATTACTATGGTCCTTTTCTTTTAATTGACGAAAAGATGAAAATTGTTTCATCTTTTTATTTAGTGGAACTTCGCCATAGTATACATAATACACCTTGTTTAGAAAAAAAAGCTTATAATTATATACATTGCTTTTCTTTCTAAAAAGCGTATGCTATACATTATATTTCAGATTTCCATTAGAAACACTGTTACAAACTAATTGTTTTGTTTTTTAAATTTATTCTTATATTTGTAGCAAAAAGAAATTCATTCAACGATCACCTTGGTAAGTTGTGCTTTTCTCAATATTTAACATAACAGTATATTTTTAACTCGATGTACTTCTTGGTTTTACTTTATAGATCGTCAAAAGATTGTCATTCTTTTTTCTACTTTTTAATTTGATCGTTCTATAGAACAAGTAGCTGAATTCGTTGCAGCAGTTGTTATACGTATACGCATTTGTTTTGACTTTGCATCATATTCATTGTTATTTTTTTTT